GCGACGCCCCCAAGGCCGGATTTGGACCCGCTTGACGCACCGACTGGCAGTGCGAACCGGATTTTGGCCATTGTGGCCTGTTTTCGTCTATTCTGGACACTAGACCCGGACTTCACACCTTCCTTCCTTGTCTGATTTTCTCAAGGTACGCCCGGGCCTGGTCAGAGCTTAGGGACGGACGGAGGCCAGAAGAAGAAGAGTCTGGAAGCCCCTGGAACTCCCCCAGCGCTCGCGGGTGCCCGGTGGAGGGCCGGGTCTGGGGGGTGAGTCATTGGGTCCGGAACCCTCTAGAAGTTGCTGGAACGCGCTCGAACCCGGCGAACCTTCAGCTGCGAGCAGCCAACTGTTGATTCGGCCGATATCGTCAGCCTAGAAAACTCAAGCCTCGCTGCTCGCTCTCGCCAATTGATACTTAGATTTGTCTCAGCATCGCGGCTCTGAACTTGCGAGCGTCCGTCTCCGTCTCTCTAGCTACCAGTGCCCTTTAGGTGTTAGATTTGGTTTCCTTTTTCTAGCGTGTTGCTGTTGCGTTCGAGGGGAGTTTTCTAGTGAGCGTCGCCATGGCTGGTAAGGGCGAAGGTCCTGCTATCGGCATTGACTTGGGCACTACCTACAGTTGCGTGGGAGTATGGCAGCATGATCGCGTTGAGATTATTGCCAACGACCAGGGTAACAGGACTACCCCGAGTTATGTTGCATTCACGGATACCGAGCGACTTATCGGAGATGCCGCCAAGAATCAGGTGGCCATGAATCCCACCAACACCGTCTTTGGTACGTTTCGCGTTTCTCTGCCACCTTTTCTGCGTTTGAATGCATGAGGTTTTGTTTCATTTTTTTTCCTGTTGTGGTCTGCGATGGTGCGCGGCCAACTCAGTTCGGGTACTGTTCCTCAATTGTATTACGTTTTTGCGCGTAGCGGCCCGGAACATCCAGTTCGTCGGCCGGAGTGTAGCGAGTGTTTTTGTTGTGCTTGCAAGTCCGAGCGACCAGCTAGTTTGGCGACTGTCTGCTTGTTTGGGTTAGAGGCGTCTCTAGTTCCGCGTGCGTCAGTGCTCCTAGTCGGGGATATTTAGTGTGGATTGTTGCGATTCCAGAAGAGGTTCTGTGGAGGGCTGGTGTCCTAACCTTTTTCTCGCTTTGCTGCCGTGCAGATGCCAAGAGGTTGATCGGAAGGCGGTTTAGCGATGCGTCTGTACAAAGTGACATGAAGTTGTGGCCTTTCAAGGTTACACCCGGGGCAGCCGACAAGCCCATGATTAGCGTGCAGTACAAGGGCGAAGAGAAGACCTTCGCTGCAGAGGAGATATCCTCCATGGTTCTGATTAAGATGAAGGAAATTGCCGAGGCCTACCTCGGTTCGACAATTAAGAATGCCGTGGTCACTGTTCCCGCGTACTTCAACGACTCTCAGAGGCAGGCCACCAAGGACGCCGGAGTGATTGCTGGGTTGAATGTGCTGCGTATCATCAATGAGCCAACCGCTGCCGCTATTGCGTACGGTTTGGACAAGAAAGCGTCATCCGTGGGGGAGAAAAACGTGTTGATCTTCGATCTCGGAGGCGGTACCTTTGATGTGTCCCTTTTGACCATCGAAGAAGGTATTTTTGAGGTAAAGGCCACTGCCGGAGATACTCACCTGGGAGGAGAGGACTTCGATAACAGGATGGTGAACCACTTCGTCCAGGAATTCAAGCGTAAATACAAGAAGGATATTAGCAGCAACCCCCGTGCGCTGAGGAGACTGAGAACCGCTGCTGAGAGGGCGAAGAGGACCCTCTCCTCAACTGCCCAGACCACGATCGAGATCGACTCTTTGTACGAGGGCGTGGACTTCTACTCTACCATCACTCGTGCCAGATTCGAGGAGTTGAACATGGACATGTTCAGGAAGTGCATGGAGCCAGTGGAGAAGTGCCTCAGGGATGCTAAGATGGACAAGTCATCCATCCACGATGTGGTGTTGGTCGGAGGATCGACCCGTATCCCAGAGGTGCAGCAATTGTTGCAAGACTCTC